CGTAATGATGTATCACAGTGGGCACCTGTGACGAGCGGGGTCCCACAGGGTCGGTCCTAGGACCAGTGCTATTTTTGGTATATGTGAACGACATGACGGAAGGGTTAGACTCAGAAGTGTCCCTGTTTGCAGATGATGTGAAGTAATGAGGAGAATTAAATCTGATGAGGACCAGGCAGGACTTCAAAGAGACCTGGACAGACTGGACACCTGGTCCAGCAAATGGCTTCTCGAATTTAATCCTGCCAAATGCAAAGTCATGAAGATAGGGGAAGGCACAGAAGACCACAGACAGAGTATAGCTAGGTGCCAAAGACTGCAAACCTCACTCAAGGAGAAAGATCTTGGGGTGAGTAAACACCGAGCATGTCTCCGGAAGCACACATCAATCAGATAACTGCTGCAGCATATGGGCGCCTGGCAAACCTGAGAACAGCATTCCGACACCTTAGTAAGGAATCATTCAAGACACTGTACACCGTGTATGTCAGGCCCATACTGGAGTATGCAGCACCTGTTTGGAACCCGCACTTGATAAAGCACGTCAAGAAACTAGAGAAAGTACAAAGGTTTGCAACAAGGTTAGTTCCAGAGCTAAGGGGAATGTCCTATGAAGAAAGATTAAGGGAAATCGGCCTGACGACACTGGAGGACAGGAGGGTCAGGGGAGACATGAAACGACATATAAAATACTGCGTGGAATAGACAAGGTGGACAAGGACAGGATGTTCCAGGAGGGGACACAGAAACAAGAGGCCACAATTGGAAGTTGAAGACACAAATGAGTCAGAGAGATAGTAGGAAGTATTTCTTCAGTCATAGAGTTGTAAGGCAGTGGAATAGCCTAGAAAATGACGTAGTGGAGGCAGGAACCATACACAGTTTTAAGACGAGGTTTGATAAAGCTCATGGAGCGGGGAGAGAGAGGGTCTAGTAGCAACCGGTGAAGAGGCGGGGCCAGGAGCTAGGACTCGACCCCTGCAACCACAAATAGGTGAGTACAAATAGGTGAGTACACACACACACACACACACACAAACGCACACACGCACTCACACACAACGTGTGGTTTTGAGTTTCGAATATATAGTAAATTTAACCATGGAGAGTAAAGCAGCACGAGAAGGACGGGAGAAGCCAGACTTCCAGAAAAGGAACTGCACAAATATGAGGTAATTCCTACATAAGGTGCAACGGGTAAGCGAGTTAGACGGAAAGACAGTAAACGACATGATGGAATACATGACCACATTATTATTATTATTATTATTATTATTATTATTATTATTATTATTATTATTATTATTATTATTATTATAATCAAGGGAGAAGCGCTAAACCCGTAGGATTATACAGCGCCTGGGGGGATGGATGTGGAACGCACTCAGGCTTAATTCGGGGAACTGGAGCACAGATCCAATTCCCTAAATCAAGAGCTCCTCACCAACATCAAGGAACCTTCCCTGAGGGGACGTGACCACAAAGTGCTGGGAGGTAGTAGAAAAGTTCGTACCAAGGGGCTACAGAAAAACGGGAAGACCAGAGTGAGCCCATGGTTTACCAGGAGGTGTGGAGAGGCCAAAGCCAAGTGTGCTAGTGTATGGAAAAAATACAGAAGGCAAAGGACCCAGGAAAACAGGGAGTTGAGCCAAAGAACGAGAAATGAATATGCATTCATAAGAAGAGAGGAAAAGCATCAAGGCGAGAATGGCATAACATCAAGAGCCAAATCATACTCATAGTTGCTACGCAGCCACATCAGATGGAAAACAACAGGTAATCAGGCTGTAGGAGGAAGGAGGGGATGTGACATGGAACGACCAGGAAGTATGTGAAGAGTTCAGCTCGCGATTCAAGGAGGGATTCACGGTAGAGACAGAAAGGCTTCCAGCAAACCGAGGTGGTAGGGTGCGCCAGCAAGTTCTAGATACACTGCACACAAATAAGGAGGAGGAGGAGGTGAAGAAGCCGCTAGGGGAACTAGATACCTCGAAGGCGGTGGGCCCACCCAGATAATATCTCTCCATGGGTCTTGAGAGAGAGAGCAGATGCATTGTGTGTGCCGCTATGAATAATCTTCAATAAATCTATTGAAACATGGCACCTGCCTGAGGTTTGGAAGAAAGCAAATGTGTCCCGATTTTAAGAAAGGGGACAGACAGGCTGCACTAAATAACAGACCAGTGTCGCTGACATGTGTTGTATGTATAGTATGTATTTAGTCTGCAGCCTTTAGGGGTGATCATAGTACCTGGGAAATCGCCAGAAGCTAACATGAACTGAATAACTTTTGCAACTAATTCTCGTCTGGCAAATGTAAGAGTTGTCTTCAGTAATTTCCCGTGATTAGGTTTACACAAATTAAGCTGGATACATCGAAGGCAAATGAATGTGAGAAACAATCTCAATGGTTCTGCGAGAGGGAGTGAGAACACTGAACAATTAGCTGTTATGGGCAGCAGGTCATTAGACATTGGCCAAGTGCAAGAAAGCTGGAGAACAGTGAACGTACTCAAGAAATGACACAGGAAGCACTGAATTATATATCAGTTTCAGTGACATGGGTACCATGAATTGTAATGTAGAAGATATTTAGAAGTTACAGACCTTTGGAAGGATACGATTTCAATAAAAATAATCAGCAAGTGTTTGCAGATGACACATCTTGTCTTACAAACTTACTAGAGTTCTATGACAAAGTGATAAAAGTGAGACAGGAGAGAGAGATAGAAATGGGTGGATTTATATTCTTAGACAGACTGCAAGAAGGAACTTGATACTGTTTCTTACAAGAGACTGGGACAAAAACCGGTGGATCAAAGAGCGCTTCAGGGAAAAGAAAGAAAGCGAATTCGTCCGCTAGGAGATAGCAGAATAAGGAGTATCAAGCGGGATTCCGTAGTAATTGATATTAGGACCAGCACCGTTTCTGATGTATATGAATGATATACCAGCTAGAACTGAACCAAGTGTATCTCTGCTTGTTAACGAAGTAAGACTAACGAGAAGAATTAAAACCAAGAGATCAAGGAAAGGCTTCAAATGTAGCTGGGAAAACCGCAAGAATACTCAGATAATTGCTTACTTAAATTCGTTTTTTAGCAAATGATTGGGGAAAGGGTAAATAGACCAGACACTACGTACAGATTCTGTGTATAGGCAAAACTCACTCAGACAAAAAAAAAAAACCTAGCGATGAACACAGTGCCAAACACATCGAATAACCTCTGTAACCAATGTTTTTCCTGGCAAATTTAGTGGTAGCTTCAAGAATCATGACAAAGAATCATTTAAAGATACAGCATATGTCAGTCCCATCTTGAAGTACGCAGCGCGATCATGAAACCCGCACTTAATCAATCATGTTAAGAACCGAAGAAAATCAGAGGAATATAATAAGACTATCCACAAAGGCGACTAAAGGAGAGGCATGAGAGATATTCAGGTGCGGTAGGTTGAAGACAAGGATATCCGAGGAGCAATGAATGATTAGTTAATCAAACTTTCAGGTAGATTAATAAAAGCAACAAAAAAAAATAATTATAAATTTATGTCAGACAAATATTTGGCTGGTAAGGGTTAGATAGTAATACCTAGCTTGCATAGAAAGCAATATACTCTTTCTAGTAAATGGTTTTAGCGTTTCATATTACTGATGGTATACATTACCGACAAGTTGATTAAAAATATACATACGCAGCACTTGTGCTACTTATGCCAGAAACATTTTGCCTGACCAGAAGGCTTTCCTAGTTAAATACAAACGAGTATATCACTGGAGAAACAAGAAGTAATTCTGAGGTGACCATTCACTCAGCATTTATTAAAGGTGGTCAGTCCCTTGGCATGCGGCAATCAGAGGAATGCGACCAGAACGTATATGCTAGAGCGGAAATAAGGTGTAGAAGCTCGATGTGACGTTACCTGTGGGCGTGGCCCACAACTGGAAGTAGGTCATGCTAAACAGTTGTTTGACGGAGGAACTGCGGGAGACCTCATCAGAAACAAGATACCATCATGTTTCTGTGTAGGACAAGTATCATGTTATAGAAGGAGTTCAGGTCCGACTTATTCATGAACAAGCCTCGTGTGGTAACCTTTCACCTGCACACCTGGTTTCATCAGTCGAATGCAGGCGAATATATAGCTGAAGGACTGATCACCTCAAATTTGCTTCTTCTGTTTTATATAGTATAATATGAGCCTTTATTTGACTGAAGAAGCCTGCTATGTATTCGAAAATTTTTGGCAATAAAGTTAACTACGAATTGCACATGTTTCTTATTCATCAAGCTTTCAGTTAGACAGCGTTTCTATCAGTAAGATCTTAACAAATCAAAATTTTGTTCATATTTTACTGTTGGCATCACCAGGGTTGATCCAACTTGTCTACCTTTATACTCTTATCTATTCTGTTTGCGAGGATAGAAATGTGAATGCCTAACGAACTAGGAAATAGAGGAAATCAAACAGGACTCCATATAATTGTAAGTGGTACATAAGTGTAACAACAAGATTTCCAGAGTTGTGCGAAGACGACGATACAAGATATTCACTCGATGTCCTGTATTAACGGCACGAAACATAGTAGCCAATATTACCTGAAATAAACGTGAACATTTAAGCAGCTAACAAGGTTTGTATCAGTAATAGAATTTTATCAGCCAGTTGTGATTTACAGGAAAATTCTAGGTATATAGAAAAATTAGAAGTGACTGATGATATCGGAAATATAAATCCAGTAACTGAATAATGTGTTTTATGGTACTGTATTTTTTGGGAGGGCAGTGAATGACAATATTGTATTATAAGCTGTAACCTAAACGATGAACCTGATTATCTTTGATCAGGAATCCACTCTGAGCAGAATAATACAAAAGTAACTGTCATACACATGTAACAAAGAATCCCCAGGAAATGTCTCAAAAATGTTGAAAATTTGGTTAACTCCTTCCTGAGATATTGATTATGACTGTTGACAGAATCCACTGATGGTCAAGATGAGGCTGGCAGAGAAGATGGTGGTGGTGATGCTGGCAGCTTCCAGCTGCCTGGCTGCTCCCGAGGTATGTATTATGATCATTAACATGAAAAATAACAATAGTGGTATGAAATGAATTTGTAGCTTTGAGAGGTACGCTGTTTATTCTCTACCCGCAGTATTTATAAAATTTGTATAAGCATTTACGGTGTTATAATTAATAAAAATTATTGCTATTATTATTATTATTATTTTAATAATGACGAGAATAACAATATTAATGATTTTTTATAATAATATTAATTTTAATATTATTATTATTGTTATTAGAGTATAAGAAATACTACTACTCCTACCACTACTACTACTATTACTACTCCTACTACTACTACTGTTTCGTCTACAAGTAGTTGTAGTAGTATTTCTTATACTTTAATAACAACAATAATAGTAATAATATATAATATTTCACTAATATTGTTATTCTTGCTGTTATTAAAAAAATAATAATAATTATAATAATAATAATAATAATAATAATAATAATAATAATAATAATAATAATAATTATTATTATTATTATTATTATTATTATTATTATTATTATTATTATTATTATTATTATTATTAAATTTTTAATATTGTTACTACTAATAATAACAATATTACATCTACGAGTAGTAGTAGTATTAGCGGTAATATTTATTAAAACCATAATCAGAATAATAATAATAATAATTATAGTAATAATAACAGTAGTAGTACTAGCATTATAGTAATAGTAGAAGAATCACTAGTAATGAACAATGTTCATCTGCCAACACTAACTGACAATAGACAATAACATAGCAATATAATAAAATAACTGTGTACGTATTTTGAACTTTTACTACTGCTAATTTTAGCAAACTAAAAGCTGAGAGAGAGAGAGAGAGAGAGAGAGAGAGAGAGAGAGAGAGAGAGAGAGAGAGAGAGAGAGAGAGAGAGAGAGGAGAGAGAGAGAGAGAGAGAGAGAGAGAGAGAAAAGGCAGATTAAAGGTACTATTTTCTTCTACTTGCTTTCCCCTGAAGGGAGGTTCCTTGACGCTGGTGAGGGGCTCTTGATCTAGGGAATTGAATCTGTGTTCCAGTTCCCTGAATTGAGCCTGAATACCTTCCATTCATCCCACCCCCACCCAACCACAGGCGCTGTGTAATCCTACGGGTTTAGCGCTCCCCCATAATTATAATAATAATTCTACGTGTTTTAGTTCGTCTTAAATATTTTTATAATTTCTATGTGGGTTCGCTGGAACAGTTAGAAACAGTAATTGTAATTGTGTCACTATTAATGGTAGTTACTACTTTTTTCTCGGCATTAATAACAGAAACAAGAACAGAATCAACAGCAGCACCAGTAAATGTAGTAACAACAGGAGCAACAGTATCAGTAATAGCAACAGGAGATTATGTAATATAACATATTAACAGTTGGTGAAGAAACAGAACCACTGTAGTGTCCTAAAGGAACCACTGTAGCATTGGTGACTGAAGTGGGTTAATGGCATGACTGTAGCACTGGTTACTGTAGTAAGTCAGTGGCACCACTGTTGCTTTGGTAACTGCATATTGTATTCGTGGCATTACTGTAGTATTGGTGACTAGAGTGTGTTAGTGGCATCACAGTTGCATGGGTGACTGAAGTGCTACAGTGGCACCACTGTAGTATTGGTCACTTCAGTTAGTGGCACCACTGCAGCATTGGCAAATGAAGTATGTTAGAGGCAAAATAACAGCATTGGTGAATGGAATATATAAGCGGTTAAACTATAGCACTGGTGACTAGGGTATATTAGCAGTAAAATTACAGCAATGGTGACTTGGGATGTATGAGTGAGAACAATGCAGCATCAGTGAGTGAAGTGTGTCAGTAACATAGCTGTAGCATTGGTGACTTTGGTGTGTTTGTGTTTGCCTTGTAACACTTGTGACTAAGTTGTGTGTTAGTAGTAACGCTGTAGTGTTCGTGACTAAAGTGTATCAGTGGCAACGACGCAGTGGTGGTGACTGAATTCTGTTAGTGGTAGCACTGCAGTGTTGGTGACTGGAGTAAGCTGGCGCTCAGAGTAGCTGGAAATGTATTAAGGACAAATCTGTAGCTCTGGTGACTGAGATATGTTAGTCCCAAAAGTTCAGATTTGTTGACTTGTTTGTGTTAGTGGCAACACTGCAATGTTGATAACTGTGGTGTGTTAGTGGGAGAACAACAGCGTTAGTGACCGGAGTGTATCAGTGCAACACTGCACTTTCAGTGACCAGAGAATGCAAGTGTCAGCATTGCAACTTTGGTGACTGAAGTGTCATAATATCAAGACTGTAGTTTTTGGTGATTTAAGTGTATTAGTGACAATGCTGAGACATTGGTGGCTTCGGTGTGTTTGCGACAACACTGGAGTGTTGGTGACTGAGTGTGTCAGTGGCAACACTGCAACAATACTGACTAGGCCTATAAGCAGAGAAACATGAATAAATATACGCAATACAGAACAAGACTCTATTTTTGACGACGTTTCACTATGAATTGAATTTTATCAAATATTTACACCCATAAGTGCAGCTTTATCAATTACAAATATAAATTGTTAGTCCTAATACTGAATTTCTACTCTGCCTATGAAGTCAATAAAGAATGCACACTTATCGCCATAAGCAGAGATTTATCATTTAAAAAACTGTACAAATAAAGTCATGTTCTGCATACATGTTTGTTGCTCCATAAACGTGTCACCATTACCCCTCCACAAACTTGTAAAGCTTCTTAAATAATCATATCCTATTACATGTAAATCTGTTGTGTATCTTTCAGGGTAATTTCTTCGGTGGAGTAGGTGAGACTCCTTCAGAGATCGCTCCTTACACCGTCATCAAGGAGGCGGCAGTGAGTCTTAACGTGTTTGTATGGTAATTTCTTTTTGTATCGCTACACAATTCATCATCGTAAATTCTCAGTGACTGGAAAGGTATGGTGTTTCCGACAGTATGTGGATTCATCACATATGGTTTGCAACAAATTTCTCAGGTTACCTTATTTAAGTTAGGTTAGGTTAGGTTTTGCTTGATTAGGTTAGGTTAGGTTAAGTTAGGTTAGGTTAGATTAGGTTAGGTTCGGCTTGGTTACGTTATGCTCTAATCAAGCACAACGTTATACAACGACAGAAAAGAAAATATAAAGACGTTAAAATGTCTTGATGCGTGAACAGAAAATCGAGGACCTGCCGAGTGAAGTAAAAATATATAATCTGATAATCACTCTTCAACTCAAGTTAAACAATAACTCATTACAGAGTAAAGTTATTAAGAATATGGGATGCGCTGTATGGTTATCCTACCACACCTTATCTCAAAATACAGCCGAATACTGCCACCTATGAGGATGAAATTGAATATTCCCGATAAATATTGGAACAATGTTTTGCTCCAAGTGGAGCCTTTAAGAAGTCATTCAAAGGTAACAGCTAACTTGCATGTGGAATCGTGGAAGGTAAGGTGGTAGTAGGTAAATAAAGTTCAAGTTTCTTCTGCGTGAGTAAGGTGTGAAAATCATTGGGAGTAGTGAACTGTCCTGTGTGGAATAGCGAGCTGTCCTGTGTCATGTGAAGACGTTTTACTGAGGCAACGATGTTGGTATTTGTACGAATGAGGTCTTGATTAATAGGTTCAGGTCAGTAGAAGCCATAATTATGAAGAAGAGAGAGCGCCCTGTAATATGTGGCATTTTGCCAAGATTTATTATTATAATCAAAACATACCGCTAAACCTACTAGGGTTGTATAGCGCTGATTTTGCCAAGAAGGGGTGTTGAAAATGAATGGCTGTCCAGCATGGTGACCGTTGAGACGACGTACTTTGTGAACTCTGTGAATAGAACCAACGATGCTGTGCATCCAGCAACTATTACAGCAGATTAAGAAGAGCTGGAGGAAACCAGGTGGGAGATACGGTGGCTGTCAGTGGAAAACAAGAGGATTTGTAGTAATCCTGGTGCTGTGCATCCTAAGGACAACAAATAAACCTGGTTAATGGTTGGGAAGGAAGGAACTAAGTTAAGAATAAAAAGAATTGATGGTGAGGTGGAAACGATTGAATTTCCAGTAGATTGATATGGAAAGCAGAATTATGAAGCTGAACTCTTCCCTAGTCTGAGGGACTGACCACCGCATAACTACTTCTTTGAGGGTGATGGACTGATTACATTCTAGTTACATCTCCAGTGCTTCCGCCGCATCTGTATTCGGGCAAAGAAACCTACTGTGTAGGCGAAATATTTCGAAATAAATATTCTTAAATGTTGCATATGGGTCTTACTTATCTAGTTGTCGTTATTATACACCACTGTAGTATTCACTCTGTACTCTTGTTGCTTATACCTGTTTACATCGACTCAAGGCTGAGGGAGTGATTACCTGAAACTCCTGCTCTTCACCATTCTCCTTTACATGGACTAATGAATCCACTGAATGGCGAAACGTTTCGTCAGTTTAGATACTCAAGTGTTGCACATGTATCCAATTCATAATCCCAGTAATTTGTTTGTGTTATTACAGAAGCTTAGAAACTGTTGTCTTGGCTTTAGGCTGCTGCTTACCATACCTCCTAAGTCTTTATCACATTCTGTATAGTCAAACTCTGTATTTCGTTTTAGCTTGTAAGTCCTAGGGTTATTTGCATTCCAGTGCTTCAGTACTTTGCATTTATCTACAATGAACTTCATCTCACACTTTCTGACCAAGACATGAGCTTGTCTAAATCCTCCTGAAGTTCAGTGCATCTTCCTCTTCATCGATTATTTTGCCTATTTTTGTGTCTTCAACGAATTTGCTCCAATCACTTGTTATTCTCACATGGTTATTAATGTATATTATAAATAACAATGAGACTAAAACTGATCCTTGTGGAATGTCACTTGTGACTGATACCTCCGTCAGATTTCACCCAATTTATACAGACTCTGTGCTTCCTGTTGGTCAGCCCCGCCTCAGTCCATGACAGGACTTCTTTCCCAACATACCTTGAGATGGCACTTTCTTTGACTGGGTGTCCTAATTTTGCAGACGTTTCGCCAACCACTGACTATATTTATACAATACTGGAACATAACTGAAGACTGTAGAAAAGGCCTTTAAGTGCTGCACGTCATATGCCTCCGTTATATAAGTGCCCATCGTCTTGTTTGTACTTGTCAGGTCACCATCTGGACAAGACTAGGGCCGGGACAATACCGGGGAACCACATAGAATTGCCTGTACTCCAGATTTCAGGCTGAGCAGGTTTGCTGATGACACTAAAATAGGCCATCGAATTAATTCTGACAAGACCACTAGATCACTACAGGAAGATCTGAATAGACTGTTGCAGTGGTTGGAGAAGCGGCAGATGCAGTTTAATACAGACAAATGCAAAGTTCTAATAGTTGGAAAGAAAAATAACCATAACGATTACAAACTAAATAATGTAGGTCTTAATCGCTCTGATTACGAAATAGATTTTAGAGTTTGGTTATCAGTAATCTAAAACCAAGGCAACAGCTCTTGGCTTCATATGAAGAAGTATAAAAAACAGGAGTCCTCATATTGTTCTTCATCTCTGTAAATCGTTGTTTAGACCTCATTTAGTTTATGCTGCTCTGTTCTGGTCACCGTATTACAGAATGGATATAAATGTACTGGAAAACGTGTAGAGAAGAATGACAAAGTTGATCCCCATGAATTAAAAAACTTTTCCACGAGAATAGACTCTCTAGAAAGGCTATGACTGAGGTGTATAAGTAGAGAGCAGGAATAAATAAAGTGTTAAAAATATTTAATCAAAGCAAGACTCGCAGCAATGGGTTCATGATGGAAAAAATTAGATTTGAAAAGGTTATAGGAAAACACTGGTTTGGTAATAGAATTTTGGATGAGTGGTGCAAACTCCTGAGTAACGTCATTGAAGCTTAAACGTTGTGTAGTTTTAAAAATTGGTTAGACAAATACATCAGTGGGTGTGGGTGAGTGTGAGCTGGACTTGTCCAGTTTGGGCCAGTTGGCCTGCGACAGTGTTCCTTCCTTCTTGCGCAAGTGAGACTTGGACCTGCTTATCAAGGGCCACTAGGCCTGCTGCAGTGCTCTTTCTAGATTATGTTCTTATCCTTATAGTCAGTAATCGTCTAGCCAGCAATTGACACCATTTGCCCTGTACAACCATTCATTTCCAGCTCCCCTTCTCGACAAAATGCCACATATTTCAGGGCGCCCTCTCTTCTTGCTAATTATATCTAATACTGCTCTATAACTGCTCAGCAAATCCTCACTTGTACACTTACAAACATCATTGCCTCCAGCACTGAGGAAGGTATTAGGGATGTTTCCATTACCATTCATGATGTGGTCAAGATGACTAACAATATCCTTCATCCCAGTCCCAGGAAAGTTAACCTTTTGTTTCCCACTTCTATCCTTCAGGCAATAGCCCTGTCCATGAACCTTATCTGACTGTCCCCAACAATTACAATGCTCCTACCCTCCTTGATGTAGTTGATCGTGCTCTTCTCTGTAGTCGACTAACAATCATCTGGCATCATGGAGAACGAATTTTAAGTTTTCACAGCAGTTTTATGAATCATCACCATTCTTCCGTTTGATCTTCTGCTTCGTTCCCTTCTGCTCAACCACTGACCAGCTTCCTCCATTAGCCTCAGGATTCACAACAGGAGAATTATTACAAATTCTCTTATTTTTCTCACTCAGTCGCCTGTCTTCCTTCAATGCCTTAACCTGCTGGTAGTGCTGCTTGATGGAGAGCATTTTTGGTTTCGTTAACACAGAATTCACAATGTACGTTCTCACACGATACAGATAAAAGTGACCATAAGACTTTCTGCCTATCTCCTCTACTCACACTGTCAACCCTCATTAAAGATCAAATGACCACCACTAACGATAAGCCTCACCTAAACGCACCTACTGTATTTCCAACCCGTCTCTGCCGTAGTATATATGTCTGCTTATTGCATCCTCTGCATGTTTTGATAAAGATCTGCTAAAACAGAAACCATATCCTAGTTAAAATTTGTTATGTAACTTATTTCTCTTTCTTCATGGCTCCTCCAAGAATGCGTCCCGTATTCTTGGAGGTACCCATTTATTGTCAGGAGAATGTGGGTACCAAGTGTAAGGAGTATCATAACAACAAAGGAATACAGTACCTATTAATTGAAAAATTTAACACATGTTAAATCTAGGTTTCTTCATTTTGTAGACTTTCGTCAAAGAGTGTCTTTATCAATACAATACAGGGAGAGGAACAGAAGATTGAAAAAGAGGTAGAAAATGAAATATTTAGTCCATCAGCCAAGCACCTGTTGCTAGGCTAAAGGGTTATTCAATAATTTTCTAGCTTCCCTTCGGTCTTCTGATTTTGTTACAAAATAAACATACCCAGATGTTGCATTTGTGTCTAATTCTTTCAAGTCTAAGAAGCTTTGCCTAATTCTTCTCTGCCCATCTCGTTTTGATCCAAGGCTTTGAGTTGAAGGTGATACCGTTGAGCTACGGGCTATCTTTTACAGCCTAATGGTCAAAGCCTTCAAGTTTAAGGTTTAATTGCCAGGCAAAATGACACGCATTCCCAATTCTTGTTATGGACGCTTCTCGTGATTATTAAACAAAAGAATGATACAAAAATTAGTTGACTGTTAATAATCGCATCCTTCGAATGGGAGTAGTATACGGTACTATAATTAGGAAAAAAATTAAAATAATTTGAGGTATGGTGAAACCACTTACCGGTGACCAGTAACTCTGTGACAGAACGATCGACGTACGACTGAAAGGTCTCGGGTGAAATTACAGTGTTGGGCAAAGGTATATTAGCAATTCAAATCAAACCCGTGGCCCCTAT